TCTGGAGACACACACAGATGCCCTCCGACGGTGAGGGAGGCAGGCCGGGCAGTGCAGGGGAGGCTCCAGCACGGCACGGAGGGCGGCCGGGGGTGGAGCATGGCCGGGCAACCAGGAGGTGTGGGGATTGGCTCAGCGCCGCAGCTCAGCTCACCTTAGCCAGCAGCAGCAGCAGCAGCGCGTTGCCCGAGCAGGGCGGGAAGAGAGGGGGTGGTGGTGGTGGCAAATCATGAAAGCAGCGTCCACACATTCAGGGTGCAAATGACTTGGACCATTTGGCTCCCCCACCCCTTTATTTACTGATCTGCCACAAGCTTGTGCAAACAAGCCCCAAGGAGTTCTGAATGAGCGGTCGTTTAAAAAAAAAAGCTTTCAGCAATGAGGCAGAAAGGGAAACTCACTCACGGCTCTTTTTTTTCCCTTTCTCGGCGACTGGGAAGGCAGTCTCTTTCCTCTCTCTTTCTTTCCTCTTTCTCTTTCTCTGTTTCCTCCCTCTTTCTCTTTCTCTCTCTCTTTCCTTTCTTTTCCTCTGTTTCTCTCTCTTTCTTTCTCTCTCTTATGGCAGTATCATCAGGAGTCCCCACCGCCCCTGGCCTCTGCGCGTCCTCAGCCGAACAGGCGGGGAGGGGGAGGATGGGAGGCAGCAGCTCCGACGGCAGCGGCAGCGACAGGGCAGCATTATCGGGGTCCCTGCCGCCCCTGGCCTGGCCGCCATCCCCACTGGGACTCCGCGCTCCCCGGCCTCACCCTCCGCCCATCTATGGAACCGCGGTGGAGGCAGTGCCTGCCTGAGCCACCTGGGGGGGCAGCAGGAGGCAGGAGAGGAGGAGGGTGAGGAAGCAGTTGCCCTAGCCAGGACTCCATGCTGCCCAGCTTCACCCTTCGCCCATCCAATGGAGCTGTGGTGGGGGCTGGTGCCACACGGCCCCTGCCAACCCCTCGTCCAGCCCAGCTGCTCCCCCCAGGCACCCCTCTTGTCCCGGCACCCGCCCAAGCTGCTTTGGGGTTAGCAAGAGGAAGAAGGGGAGGAGGAAGGGGAGGGCAAGGAAGCCACCTCCAGCGTTGGGCCCCAGGAGGCGGCTCTCTTCTCCTACCTTTGCTGCATCTCCTTCTTCCTTCCCAGCAGCCTGGATTCCGGTGCGCCTTCCCGGCCAGCAGGTCCAATGGTCGGACTGGCTGGGGATCGCAGGGGGTGGTCTCCCTTGGGCCGCGGCTTGCGGGAGGGCTGGCCGACTCAGTGGAGCCTCCAGCGGGCTGCTCCCAGCAGGGATCCTGGGGCTTCCCTGGGCGGCTCCAAGCCACGAGGCCCTGGCCGTGCTTCTCCCAGGGGGTGGGGTACCCAGGCGCAGGGCCAATCAGGAGCCCTGCAGGCGGTAAGTACATCTGAGAGAGAGAGAGAAGGGAAGCAAAAGTGCCTGTCTCTCTCTCTCTGCAAATGGCGGAGGCCGTGTGGAGACAGATGCAGAGCGGTGTCTCGGTTCCTAAGACCATCGGAAATATGTTTTCCGATGGTCTTAGGCGACCCCTGTGAAACAGTCGTTCGACCCCAAAAGGGGTCGCGACCCACAGGTTGAGAACCACTGCTCTAAGGAGTCTACTGGCAGGGGAAACTCAATCGGCGAAGGGACGACTCCCTTCGCCCGACCGCACCGCCGCAAACTGGAACCGGAAGCCCAAAAATTTTTGAAATTCTATAGTTCACATTGTTGTGATAGTTTGTCAAGGCTATAACCTCTTGCCCTATACCCAAGAAAAAAATAAGATAATTTAATGCTCTATCTTGAATTCTCTGTGTACTAGTAAAACCTCTTTAAAAATCCCAAACGCTGTTTAATATAAGTTCATGAAAACATTTTTTTCTGACAAAAATAAACAATATTTTTAAAATAAGTAGAGCTTTTTCATCCAGGCTCAGCAATAATTCTGGATAGGATTTTTTTTTTATTGGTATTGTTGCGGCTATGTTAGAGTGCCTTACTCAAATTGAAAAACAGATCCAATTTCAAGAGTATTATTTTTCTCCTAGTATATTATGGTATTCATCTGCTTTTGTGTTTGTGTACATGTACTGGCATGACTTCAACTTAGTCTTGATTCCTAGCCACTGCCTGGGCAATTCCATGAAATCTTTTTGGGTAACATTTTTCAGAAGTGGTTTGCCTTTGCCTTCTTCTTGAGGCTGAAAAAGTATGACTGGCCCAAAATCATCTAACTAGCTTCATACCTAACATAGAATTAAAACTCACAGTCTCTTGGTTTGTAGCTCAGTACCTCAGCCATTAAGCCAAACTGGCTCTATGTGTAGAGATGCCTCAGGATGTAGGCTGTACTATGGGTTGACATCAGCACATTATATTCTGACATCCAAGCTTTGGTTATTGGATGGTTTACAACAGTGGTTCTCAACCTGTGGGTCGGGACCCCATTTGGGGTTGAACGACCATTTCACGGGGGTCGCCAAATGCAGTCTGCCATTTTTTCCCCCTTTTCCTTAGCTGTGCTACTTCCTTTTATTCTATTGGCTTTTGAAAGCCAATAGAATAGACTCTCTTGAATAGAGTCTAATTCTATTGGCTTTCAAAAGCCAATAGGAATTGTCCAGGCTGTCTCTGCCCTGCTGAGCCCGCCAAAAGTCCCATTCTGCAAATGGTGCTGCAAGCTGTCTGCAGCGAAGGCAAGCTGTCTGGAAGTTTCCACCCCTCCCTGCTGAGCAACTACTAAAAATGTAAGTAAAAGAGGGCCGGAGTGGGAGGTGGGAGGCCGGAGGGCACAGGAGGGTTGCTGGCGTGCGTGGGGCCCGGTGGGTGCCTTACCTCCCTTGGGCTGGGCCAGCTGATGGCCCAGCCGGTGGTTGTCCTGCATCGTCTCTTCCGCTTGCCAGCTACGCCTCAGCCGGCGCAGGGGGCGGCACCACGCATGTGCGGCGCTCCCGGGCAGGGAAAGTCCTCGACTTATGACCAGTTGGGTAGTCCTCGACTTACGACCGGTTGGGGGTCGTGGCATTAAAAAGGTTGAGAACCACTGGTTTACAAATTATAATAATTAAGTAGTGGCATGCTATTTATTCACACAAATGAGTATATACAGCGAATATTTTGGTAACTAATTTTGTAGAAAAGAAAGAGATGCTTGAAACAGTGTTTTTTAAATATTTCAGGAGTCTCTTTCACAATATCCATTTTGTGAAACTGCCAGATATCTCTTCCCCACACTTAAAATATTCCCATTGGCCTATCCCTGTCGCAGGTTAATTAAACATTGCAAAAGGAGACAATCTGTAGCCCTTCCAAGAGTTTTTACTATATTGCCAATGAGCTCTAGCTATCAAGATCAAAGATAAAATTGTGGAAATTATAATCCAAAATATTTGGAGGAAAACAGCCGGCCCCTTTTACATTATAACCACAAATCCTTATAATATATGTAATATATAATAATCCATATCAGCCCACAAGTATAAAAGAGTGACTAATAGAAACACATTCTGTTTATAGGGTTCTTTTTAACAGAATTAGAATTTATTTCACTTTATATTTTCACTTTACAGTTTATTTGCTTGGGCTTCAGGAAGATATGCCAAGCTACTGACACCTGATGAGCACTAAAACTAAAATTAAATCTAAAACATATTAGTTTTATGAAACAGGCTCTTCATTCAGCAAAGTAATCTTATGGTCAGCTACACTTTGGGTCTTGGGGAAAACCACTGACTTAAAACAGTAATATTAAATATATAGTTACAGAGGATGCTACTTCTGTTCTCCATCTGAGCTTGGCGCACTTAGAGGAAAGAAACACTCCTGTGTGAATGCTGTTTGTTGACTTCAATTCAGCATTTAATATAATCATTCCTCAGCATCAGGTAGACAAACTGGGCCTTTTAGGCTTCAATACTTCTTCGTGCAACTGAATTCTTGATTTTCTCATTGACAGGCCCCAGTATGTGCGAGTTGGGACTAATATTTCTAACACTATTTTCTTGAGCACAGGTTCTTATCAGGGTTGTGTCCTAAATCTGCTGTTGTTCACCTTGTTGACCCATGACTGTGGTACCAGGTTTGCCACCAATCATATTGTGAAGTATGCAGATTATAAAACAGTAGTGGGCCTTATTCAAAATGACAATGAGGGTGCTTACTGCAAGGAAGTAGAGGTTTTGGTGAACTGGTGTAATAAAAACAGCCTCATTTTAAACTTAGGAAAAACTAAAGGTTTCTGGGTGTGTAGCTAATAAGTACACTAGCTTGGTCACTCAACAATGAGACACTGGTGAAGCAGGCACAGGAGCACCTGCATTTTCTGCGTCGCATGAGAAAAGCACATCTTCCTTCCTCAATCCTTATAACTTTCTACAGAAGAACGGTCGAGAGCATCCTTTTAAATGGCATTATTGTCTTATTTGGAAGCATTACTGCTTCAGACAGGAAGGCGGTGACGAGGATGGCAGAAAAGATTATTGGCAGTTCATTTCCTTCTATCCAGGACAGAGCATATAAGTGATGCTTGAGCAAGGTCCGCAGGATTTTCTGGGACACTACATATCCTCTTCACGGCTTGTTTTCCTTGTTACTTTCTGGAAGGAGGCTTTGTGGTATCTGAAGCAGTATATCCAGATTCAGCCACAGTTTTGTTTCATATAGCATCAACCTTGTGAACTCTCAAGTTGCCTCTTTCCACCATGTATTCAAAATGTATAGTGATTAATATATAGTGCCCATAGTAAAAAAATAACAATAAAGGTTATCTTATCTATGTAAGAATCAGGCATAATTATGAAAGTGGACAATTGTAGAATATTAGTATCCACACAATCATGTTTTTCTTAAATTTGACCTTTTATTTTTCAGCATAACATTGCACTGAAGTATTTTGAAAAATGAAGAGGACTAAAAATATGTATCACTTTATCTGCTGCATATTGAGGGGAGATATTCTAGATATTAAACAAGTGAAAACTGTTCTAGTTTTCCTAAAAAAGCAAAAAAGAATTCAGAGGCAAGACTAATAAAGATCTATTTTATTCATAAAGAAAAACAAGTATCTTGCATTAAAAAACATTACCATTCTGTTTTATACAGTCATATATTTTATGATAATATATTCTATTTGACACTAAAAAAACTCTCACCCAGTGCATACTGCCATCTACACCATTCTATTAATACTCTGTACATGTTTGTTGTATGTTATAATTATATTAATAAGGAGATGAGAAATTATTAAGTCTCTAGATATTAGTGGTTTATAGCTCCAGTTATTCTTAAAACCTAAGTCTGACAAGAAGTGGAATCCAGTAGCATCTAGAAACCTACAAATTCCCCATCTATGACTAGTTTACAAATACAATAAATGTTATAGCTGAATGAGATGTGGAGTTATCATTTTGTTCTCTAAAATACTTGAGGAAAGAATACATTGAGCTTGGATGGATAAGGATACTCTAAATTATTGTTACCCTCTTCAAGACATGAAACAAGCAGAAATTGATGTTTGATGTATTTACATTTCAGAAAATACTTTGCAAGCACAAAATTGCTTTGTAGTGCACAATGACACTGCACTGGACATGCCGTTTTGAATGTTACTTGCTAGCAGGCTGTTTTGAATAATAACTACAGCTATCAAATATTGCATTTTGAATAATAGCTAAGATCCAGCTGCTCATTATATGAAATAGCCGAGCTTTCATAATACTGACAGAAACTTTGAATTTCAGATTCATAGGAGCCAGTTTGATGTAGTGGTTAAGGCACCAGAAACCAGGAAACTGGGAGTGAAAACCAGCTAGGTATCTTTAGGCCAGTCACATTTTCTCAGCCCAACTTGCCTCATAGGATTGTTGAGGGGAAAATAGAAGGCAGAGAGGCTGGAGAGGAGACAGCTCCCTTGATCATCTTGATCTATGTAAGGTAAGTGACCTGGTCGGGGAGGGAGAGGGAGAGGGGGAAGCATGAGGTATCTCACAGAGTTGGGGGAGACCTTGGGTGGCCGGAAGCACTAGGCCACCCCATGGTCTTCCCCACCCTGAGATATCTCATGCACTTAATGATCCACATATTCAATTAGCGAATGCGTGAGCGAAAGTTCAAGTTATGTGATTCACTCCTATGAATCCTGGTTACAAATGCAACATCCGTAACTTGAGGATTACCTGTAGTTACGTTTGTCACCTTCAGTTATTTAGAAAAACAATAAAGGTGGGATAAAAACAAATTTAAATCTTTTGTGGGACCTAAGTATCTACTTGTAATAGGACAGCAAAGACTGTTCCTCATCTGCTTTAGGGTTTATTCTTTGTAAAAATAGAAATTGCCAGGGGTGGATGGATAGTGAGTATACCAGAACGTAATACAGACAAACATACACAATAGAGTCAGTAAGAGATTAAGGTGCTAGACTAGGACTGATACAGCATGACTTTCAATAGAGAAAGCTTCATCCCAAAGCAGATTGTTTCAGACTGATTTTATATGCACTCCCAAAAGCAACATAAGCCTATCATATTATTTTCTAACATAAATGTATACAATTAAGAAGCAACTACATTTTCCTGTAACAAAAAGTACAAATGAATCAAAAGTGCAAAATACCGACTGTGCTTGCATTTCCAGAACTTTAGAGATCATTACATTAATGTATAATATGGTTAGGTTTTTATAATTTTTGCAGCTTTGGATTCCAAAAAAGTACATTAATCAGACAATATGTCTAATTAAAGCAGCTATGACTTTTGAATCATAGTGTAATATTTTAGTCCAGTTCTTCTCAAGTTTTGCATTCCCTTCTAGAATTGTAGCCAAACAGTAAATTATTACAGTTGATCAACTCACCTTGTTCATATTGGGTATTTTCAATTAGAATTACAGTTAATATTTGGAATATTCAGATGATAACTATTTTAAAACTAAAGGTTCATTAGGAAATGACTTTTGTTCCTTTCCTAGAAAAGTCTTTTTCCCAATATATTTTTAAAGATTTATATACACTCCTCGCACATACAAATTTAAGGCAGCAAACATACCTAATTCTCCTGCCTCCATTTTCCCCACAACAACTGAGAATGACTGCTCCAAAGTCATCCAGCTGACCTTCACGTCTAAGGCAAAACCAGGGATCTCAGTCTCCTGGTTTCTAGACTCAGGCCTTAACCGCTACACGTAGTCTTTGACTTATGACCACAACTGAGCCCAAAATTTCCACTGCTAAACAAGACAGTTGTTAAGTGAGTTTTGCCCCTTGTTATGACTCTTTTTGCCACAGTTGTTAAGCAAATCACTGCACTTGTTAAGTGAGTCACATATTGTTAAGTGAACCCAGCTTCTCCCAATGACTGCTTGTCAGATGCCAGCTGGGAAAATTACAAACAGTGACCCCAGGACAGTGCAACTATCATAAAGTCATTTTGTTAGAGTTGTTGTAACTTCAAATGGTCATTAATTGAATGGCTGTAAGTCAAGGACTATCTGTAGACCAGACTGGCTCTCAAAAATAAAACAGAACACAACAGTTTTCAGTATATAAAGCAATAATAAAAGATTTGTCCCAGGCTACACTTTTATTATAGCATTCTCATCTTTTTGTAAACTTCTGCTGTTCCATTAGATAGTCCTTGACCTGTGACTCATAGCTTAGCAACTGTTCAAAGTTACTGCACAGCCCCCAAAAGCTACTTACAACCGACTGCCGAAGTTATGGCTCCTGCAATGCCCTCAGTCTTCTGCTCTTAGGGCTGACCGCAGGGATCTTGTAGCATCCCCCTGCTTGTTTCCCACCCCCGTTCCTTTCCTTGGATTCCTGCAGGCCTTTGGCCTGCTTCCCATCCCACCAGGTCCTATATCCTCCTCCTCACTCACCTTTCAAAGATCTCTAGGAAAGGAGGACAGGCTTCTCTGTTCCAGGGCTATGTGGTGCGACCCCAGAAACGGCTGCCATTTTCCAAGCAGCCACATTGAATTGTGGTGGCTTGAAAAATAATGGCTACTTTCAGGATAGTGCCATGCGGCCCAGCAATGGAGTGCTTTGCTTTGCTTCCCTAGTACAGCATTCTGCAGCCCCAAAGAACATGGTGGAATACTGCAGAGCTCGGGTTAGGGAAGCAGAACAAGCTGCTCTGTTGCTGGGCCATGCAGTGCCATCCTGAAAGCAGCCTGTTCTCTTTTCCTAACCTGAGCTCAGAGATCTTTGAAAAGTGTGCAGTGGTGACATGAGGTGGGGAGGAGGGTGTGACGCTTGGTGGGATGAGAAGCTGGCCCAAGCTCAGCAGAGACTCTGAGAGGAGGAAAGCAGAGCATGGATGTCTTAGGGGATGGGAGAGGCTTGGAATCCTGGAACAGGCCCTGTGCTAGGCCTTCCAGAGCCTTCCCAACCACCCCGAGTGGCATGATCTATTGAACAACCACATCAGGGAAAGCAGGGGCGAAAGGGTTGTTAAGGAAGCCTCTTCCCTTAACTGCCATTATGACTTCCAACCATAATAACCAGTCTCTATTACAGTCTGGAGTTCAGAGCTACCTCTATATAGAGCTGATAGCATAGAATCTGGAGCATGGTGACATGACAAACTAGTCCAGCCATCCATAGCTAATCATAATCCAACTAAGTTGAACTAACCCATAATTTCAAGTCAATATTAGAACTACAATTTAAAACATAAGGAAACATTTGGATGAGATGATAGCATTTCTCACTAATACCCTATCTTGGTTTAAACATGGCTATTTTTACATCACCAAGTTAATATTCAGTAAGCATTTATCCTTAACTAGTATTTGAAAGAAGGGGATGATGTTGATTTAAAAAAAAATCCCCATAATGCTTTGGAAGTTCTGTCTTAAATGTGTTTAAAACTTAACAAAAAATATATACAAGTTCCAAGAAAGTTTACAAATCAAGTTGCGAGTAACACTACATCTGCACTGGCCAAAATAATTAGAAAAGAAACCTCTTGTATAAATTACTGAATCCTGAATGAAGTAAAAAGAAAAAACTTTCGAAGTACAAGAGCCAGCCTGCACTGAGTTAGGTAATACTTATAAACTTAACAACTTGTAAAATTCTCGGGTCTTAATAATTTTGGAGTATCAGTAATTTGCTCAACTGTGAATGTAATTATAGTTAAATATTCATTAAGTTTTAAAATATGCAGAAAAATATAAAAATGTATGTGACTATTAGAAACAAAATCCCATATGGAAATTTAAAAATCCAGAATCCAGAAAAGATACAATTTGGTTTCTCAATATTTACCAGATCAAGGAACTTCAATGTTCATTTGATCACAAAAAAGCAAACAGTCTCTTTTAATACTGACATAATCATAAGGACATGATTAATTTTCTAGCAAAAAACACTGTATCTGTCTGAATGAGTTCATTTGGTATAAATAGGACAGTTCGCTTAAAGATTGCACTGTTAATTCCAAACAGCCCTTTAAAGAAACAAATTGTGCATAGTATGTATGTGTACACACACACATAGAAAGAGAGAGAGAGAGAGAGAGAAAATAAATCTGGAGATGCCAACATTAGCAGACACTCATTATCTGCCAGTCTTCTTTACTATGCTTTTCTTTCTACTGAATGCTGTGACCCCTCAATATAATCCAATCCATACTCCAACTGGCCAGCGTAGAAGGAGGCAGTGCATGGCAGCTATAGGGGAGAGAATATCTGCTCTGCTCGGGAGGGTCCACTCTGCTGGGAGCTGGACAATTTTAGATTCATCCATAGACAGTGCATTGCTTTTGGAATCAGTGCATTTTAAAGTAATTCATTTGTTATCAACAAAAATACTTAATTCACGGACGTTGAACCAGCTTGCTTTTGTTCCCATCTTGTTCACTAAGTTTGAAGTGTGTGTAAGCTAGAATGCCAAACAATGTGCATGTAATTCCAAGGCCTTGATTAATTGACAAAGAATCCTTAAATAAAAGATATCCTCCCATGAGAGTGATGCAGAATTTGAAGTGTCCAAACATGTTGTATCTACATAACTGGGTTAAGGAACATAATTAATCCAAAATAATCAAATACTAAATCCTGTGCCAGGTTTGGCTTCTTAAGTCGTACTCTTATAAATGTAAGCTATGTTAGAAAATACCTCCCTCAAGAATAATTGGAACTCTGCTTCATTAATATAGGTTATAGTAATAGAATTTTGAAAGCTTAATAGCATTTTCCTCCCTTTCTCTTATTGCCAAGCAAGTTAAAATTTCATTATAAAATTTTCTTCTTCTCCTGAGCTTAAATAATATTTTTGTTACTGTTAGGGCCGTGGTGGCGAACCTATGGCACGCGTGCCACAGGTGGCACGCAGAGCCCTCTCTGTGGGCATGCGAGCCGTCGCCCCAGTCCTAGGCCTTCAGCTGAGTTTTATAAAACCTTTTCGCTTTAGGCCTCCACTGCCGTGTGCAAAAAAAAAAAAAGATTCAATCAATTTCAACTTCTTGTGGGGAAAAAAAAAAGATCTCGCAAAGTTGGAATTATTGTTTGAACTTTTTAGTCCCACCTAGTCTGCCGTTACCACTGCAGCCATGCCCACCCAATAGGCACACCCACCCAATGGGCCACGCCCACCCAGCACCCGATGATACATAAGTGAGTTTTGGGTTGCAGTTTGGGCACTCGGTCTCTAAAAGGTTCGCCATCATTTGCAGGGGTAGGCAACCTTGCCTCTTTTATGACTCGTGGACTTCAACTCCCAGAATTCCTGAGTCAGCTATGCTATGCTATGCTGACTCAGGAATTCTGGGAGTTGAAGTCCACGAGTCATAAAAGAGCCAAGGTTGCCTACCCCGTGCTATGGCATCCTTTTGCCAGGGTCATCTCCATAGTTCCTTATTGTATACAATCGTTCTTAAAACTGCCTAAAACTGAAAGCAAGATTTTCTCATGTATCTGTTAATTCATTTTTGGCTTTAAGGAAAACTTCTCTCACTGCTAACAATACAGGTAGTCCTCGACTTATGACCACAATTTTGAGTCCAAAATTTCTGTTGCTAAGTAAGACATTTGTTAAGTACATTTGGCCCATTTTACAAACTTTCTTACTACACTTGTTAAGTGAATCATTGCAGTTGTTAAGTTAGTAACATGGTTAAGTGAATCTGGTTTCCCAATTGACTGCTTGTTAGAAGGTTACAAAAGGTGATCACATGATCCAGGGATATTGTAACTATCATAAATATGAGACACTTGCCAAACATTTGAATTTTGATCATGTGACTATGGGGCTACTGCAATGGTCATAAGTGTGAAAAATGGTCATGTCACTTTTTCAGTGCTGTTGTAACTTTGAACAGTCACTAAACAAACTGTTGTAAGTTGAGGACTGCCTGTATTCATTATATATATATTTTCAATAAAAGATTCATCATTATTTTACTGCTACTTTAGAAAGTAAATCCAAGAATTGGAGATGAGTCATTCCCTCATAAAACAATGGGATTCCTTAACTGCTTTTATTTTATAAGATTATAATATTTCAATGTATAAGCAAAATTATAATAAATTAGAATGGAATGCATATAATTTGAATATAGTTGTAACACTGACATGCAATTAATACCACGGTACCAGAGATCAGATTATACAGCATCATTAAGATACCTAATTAAGACAATTCACTCTTAACAATGTAAACAAACTTGTTGAAAGATCCTAAAATGTAGTGTTTAAGTCCAATACAATATGATTCTACACTTTCTGAAAGTTTTACTTAAAATAGTTTATTGGTGACTCACCTGATGTTTTCCAATTTCTACAGTAAATAAGTTTGCAAAACTGGAGCAATAATTTTCCAAGTGAAAGGATACGTCACTGGTGAAGTATTCCCAATAATCCAGTAAATAGACAAGTTCACCATAAATGCTATTATTCCAGAGACCAGCACCATAGACTGTGGATTAGGAAAAGAAAGCACTTACATATCACTGCAAATGATTTTTAATAGACAATATCCTCTACAAAGTGACATAGATGGTTGCAAATGGTATCTTTATCATTGCCTGTCCAATCATTTCATAATCACAGTAAGAATTACAACCTTGTAACTTATTGGAACTTGTGCAAAGGTTCTCTTTGTCATGGAACCTTACATCTTGTATGCTAACATCTTGGATCTTCATCTAGCATTGCTGTTCTGAAAGTTGGCGCCTGTGTTTGTAAACAATTAGATCTGATTTTTTTATCCTTAGCTTTCTCTATTTTGAATTATTATTCAATTTGACGTTAAAAACCTGGAAGCATTTTTCTTTGAACATTTAATTGCAAGCTGAAATACGGAGTATAAAAGTTAACAAAACTATATAAAAAGGGTTCAATAGATTGATATTTCACAATATCTACTTCTAGGAATATCTTAAGTACCATCTCCTAAGCAGTTTTATTTATCATTTACAGAAGTTATAAATTATACCTTTCGATTACATCATGCACGGATAAAAATATAAATTAAAAGTTAATTTTTATTTTGAAAAAAAATATGTTCCCACAAAGTATGGAGTAAAAATAAACATTAAGCAGGAAGAATGCCATTACAATTGATAAATGACCAACCATCAGAATATTAAAACCTAATGGTAGTATAGTCTTTTTTGTTCTTCCAAAACAATATAATAAGGAGCCCTTTGATTATTCTTGGAAAACAGTGTGCGGCCCAATCCACTGCCTGTTTACTCATAAGTAATCTGTTTGCTGTCTGTTGTTTCTGTTGTTGTTGCTGCTCCCAAAACTTTTACTATGAAGCTGTCAAAGAGCCAAAAATAGACAAAATTCAGGGCAAGAGAAGAACAAAGGAATATCCCAGGCCGTCCCTCTAACCAAGACATGTAAATGAATCAATCAAGACACAATCAAGCAAGATTGTTTCATTGTGTGCCTTCAAACAAATGCCAGAAGAAGTTTGAAAAGCAATATACTATATGCAGTCATTATTAGTTGGACTAATTTATCTTAATGCATAAAGTAAAGATTATTTTAAAAAATAATTCAGTAGTGGATGATCTTTTCATGCAGTCCTTCAGTTGTAATATCTCACAACTGAAAATTCAGTGGCTAGCAACTAAATAATGGGAAACACTGATTCAATTTAGAACTTCCAAATTTAGGGTTATATTTGCCTATATTTGAACAGGAATGTTTTTTGTTAAATTTTAAGAGCAGTTAGAACAAATAGAATGAAGAAGAAAAATAAACAATTTACCATAGCAGAGAGAGTCCAGGGGCCAAAAATTCCACCTTCTCCAAAGACTGGTTCAAAGAAGGGTACAACACACAGCAACATGCCACATGACATTGGTGCTTGATAGTATAGTAGCTGCATGGAATTTACCTGTAGTTCATGTTGCTTTGCTCCTACCCACTGAAACAAAGACAAATATATTAATAGTCTACATATCTAACCTTGATATAAATTACAATATGCCTACTAAAATACTCCATTGGTATGTACTTTAAAAGCATGTATAGCCCAACCCAATTTATTCCAATTGCACAAGACATCTAAAGCATCTGAAAGAAAAGACAATCCGTTTCTTCTGTTTGTACTGATACAATGGCATAAAAATCAGTGTCTAGATTACAGATTCCTTAAAATGCCAAAAAAAAAAGAAATGGAATAAAATATTTCGAAAGCAAACAAGCATCTTAATATGCAAGCTTGCTAGCAATGAAGTGTTATTCAGGCAGAGAAAACGTGAGCTAAAATTTTTGAACTTGAAGTTGATGCAAGCTACAACTGCATAATATGGGTAGGAAACAAGAAAATATAATTCCAGCTATGACCTTCATGGATAGCTCTAGAATAAATTTCCCTAGTGTGGGCATCTTCCATATATGAAGATTTCAACTCCCAATATTTTTAACATTGACCATGCTGGCTGAACAACTCTAGGAGTTATCAGCTTGGGAGGAAGCAGGGCAGTGGTGTAGGTGGAAGACTTCCAGGTTCCATTGTTAATGTGAGGACGAATAGCCTGAAGACCATGGAAAGTGCAGCAAGAAAGGACTCTGAGGCATAGCATGTTTTGTTGCTGAATAACACAGGAGAGGCAGCAGTGGCTCCATGGGCGAAGATGGTGGCTGTGCAGGAGGCATTGTTGACTGTGGCACAAAATGAGAGGAAGTGAAAGAATGAGAGCTTGCCAGAGGTGCAGTGCATGCCCTGCAGCTTATGTTGGACACACTCCTGGACAATCAACCTGAAGCTCGCATTGGAAGCTGTTGGCCTGTTGCTGCGTGGAGAAAGCAGAGGGCCTATGGGTACTACCTGTAATGATTTACTGCTCCCAAAGTCAGTAGAAAGTCAACAATAAGTAAAGACTTCTAAAAACAATCACTTACTGTTTTGTTTAATTATCTTTAATGAAAATATCATTTTAAACTTTAAAATATCAGTTATTTTTATTGCTCTGAGGAAACTCAATTTAAAATGTATGTTTAATGATAAAACCTCCACTTACTCTTTGAGAAGTCTTTTTAACTCCCTTTCCATTCTAAAAAAAGGAAATATCATCTATCTCTCACCCAAAAATTATGGGAAAAATAATGCATATAAATATGGATGAGTGCCTAATTACCCAACCATTACAACAGAACCAACACAAGCTATGAAACGGAATTAACAACTATCAAGTAGTAAACAACAGCGTAATCAAGGAATTACCAAGAAAAAATCACCATCAACACTGACAGGCAAGCAAACAGAGAGCAAATCCTAATCCCTCCCAACCTTGAAGATGTTACCTAATAGGGCAGTGGTGGCGAACCTATGGCATGGGTGCCAGAGGCGGCACTCGGAGCCCTGTCTGTGGGCACATGTGCCGTTGCCCCAGCCTTGCCTCCCCCCACGACCCCCTCCTCTCCCTGAAGGAGAGTCGCCCTCGAGCGTGGCCCACATGGAGCAGCACAGCCAAGGACATGGCAGCCAGGTAGCGTAGACAAGACTCTGCCCTCACATCCCATCATGCAGTTGATGCTGCAGGACGCGGGCAGAGGGTGTGGCCGCCATAGCGCTGCTGGGCTGCCTGGGCAATCTGCGGTGGGCCCTGGAGGCGGTGAGTGGTCCTGTGGGCAGGAGGGGCAGGGGATGGGAGGGCATAGCGGGGGCGGACCAGGGAGGTGGAGCAGGGTGGGGTCAGTTTTTGGGCACTCAGTCTGGTTCGTATCACTGTAATAGGGTAACAAAATGTCTGGAAGCAAACAACCAAACTCAAAGAATACCAAGGACTCCACAGTTCATCCCTGAGCTACATATATTCTTTTCTATTGAAACTAGGGTGAACCATTATCAAGATGTTCAAAACTGTTCAAATGGTTAATAGGCTATTCACAGATAAAATATTTGACATTATTACAATGTAGTTTATTGCAGTTTATTGTTGAGTACAGAACAGAATAAGCAACAGTTTCTCACCCATGTAGATCATCACACAATCCTACAATATTTTTTAAAACCCGGTAACTCCACTCTTCATCAATGAACTCTTCAAATATTTTAAAGCCATAGCCAAAACAACTTGACACCAGATTGGGATGAACTCAAGAATGCATATATCAAATACAATTTATATATTTATGCATAGAGCTACCTGTTGCTTTCCAACAGAAAATAGTTTTTCTTACAGTTAAATAATACATATTTAAATAAGAAAGTTATGTACAACAAATATTTCCTACTCAAAAGACTGAAAAATACAGAATAGATTACATAAAATATTGTTCTAAGTTTGCATTAAAAAACATATTTAACTTACCACTTGATAAAGAGATGTCACTATAACACCAAGAGCAGCAAATATCATCCCAAGAAAACTAAATTTCATGTCATAATAGGAATTTAAAAAAACACCTAAAGTGATAGGAATCTGTGAAAGAGAAAAAAGAAACATTTGATGCTTAACTATTCCAGTATTATTTCTTAGTTCTGAAACAGTCTTCCTAAACTTTTTGGTCTCTAAATGATTAGAATTTCTACAGCCTCTAGCCAGTATAAACAAGACAAGGAGGCTAGCAAAGGCTATATTCCTAGCTTTTCATAACATCTTGTCTGACAATTTTTTAAAAAGATATTATTTTGGTTTTGTGATTGAACCTGATAAATACTGGTATATTCAAATTTTAGGATGAAAAGGGGGTGTTTACATTCTATAGTTTTGAGTCAAAGCCCCTACATAGTTAGCCACAATCAACTATGGACATTCATTATTTTACATTTTTATATATATTTTAATGTAAGACACAGCAGTACAGCCGCCTTCACCAATTCTTTACTTTTTAGGCATGTTGGCTTTCGTAATCCCTACTCGACACATCTATACGATCTAGAAATTATAGACACTCTAATCCATCAAATCTAGGAGCATTAGACCTGGGAAAGCATTTAACTGAATCAATTATTTTTAACCAACCTTCATACCAACCAAAAAGCCATCCTGTCTACAGTGCACACTATTTCTGGCAATACTTCACTTCCAGCATTTCTCCTTGCTCTAGGATTGCAGCCCATTACTTTGGGAACCCTCAGCATGCGCAAGCGAGGGCCGCCCTCGGCTTTTGCCCACCCGTCCTCCCCTCACACCCTGCCCTGCTTCTCACCAAAGTGAGCTTGATGCGGGTGGTAAAGGTCTTGCCGTAGGCCACACTCTGGATGAGCACGATGACCGGCGTGGTCATGGCCTTGGCCAGCTGGTAAGTGCCGACCGTATTGTTCTGCAGAGAGAGGTTGGTGAAGACCACGAAGCCACAGAAGCTGAGCGCTAGGGAGAGGATTTGGCGCGGCCGCAGGCTTTTCGGGACGAAGACGCCCAGCGACTGGCACACATATAGCCCCAGCCAGGTGACGGCGAAGTGCACCAGCGTGAGGCTGAGATTGGGGAAGCCCATTCGCACGTACAGCCACTTGTTCAGGAAGACGATGCAAATAGACGCCACCAAGTTTACTAGCAGCCCCGCCGCCAACCGTCCACGCTCTGGAAGCCACCCTTCCATGCTCGAACCTCTTCCCAGTTCCACGTCCACTTCCTGGGGAGCAGCAGCAGAAGCAGCTACCGCTCCCGGGCAAACAGCTGGCACAACTGTAGCCACGGCCTCTTCTTTGCCCGCCCACGTGACCCGGGCGCAGGAACTTCCGCTGCTGCAAGAGGCCTGTCCTTCCTCGGCAGAAACCCACCTGGTAAGGGTCTCAAAGCATCTCGGGGCCGGCTCTGGGCTCCGGCTATTGTTGCACTGGCTGATGTCATCGTGGCTCAGCGCGAGCTGCCGGCAAATGCAGGCCAGTCTCGACACTGGTCGCCTTGCACTTGGGAACGGTGAGGTCAGCCCAACCCGGCGCCGGGTGAGAGAAGTCTGCCTATGAGGTAGGAAAGAGGATGTTTTTCGGAGCCACTAACTGTAAAGGCAGCGGCGCAAGTCCCAAAAGGCTGGAACTGGCCATTTAGGAATGTAGATGTAGAAGCCATCATCGCTTTTCTATCTCCGTTTGCGCTGAATTGACACATATTTTGTGACTGAACGAATGGTGCGAACACAGCCAGAATACAGAAAGAATCATCCCCACGATTTCAGAGACATGGCACAAAGGCAAAATCGCTTCAGTTCCTGGTGACTTTATGAATACACAAAACAATCCCCGTTGGGTAATCCTTTCAGAGATATTTCCTCACCTGGAGAAAAAGAATCTTGGGCAAGTAAAAAAGCAGTAGGAGCAGGAGTGACTTCTTCCCCAATTACTTTCCTTTGGGAAGTTGGAAGGGAATGAAATGAGTTTGTCAAATTTCAATCCCAGGGGAGTAATGGGCCCCAGCCACAACTTTGCTAAATTAAATTCCTGAGACATTCGGTGCTGTCATGACTTCAGAAGAGTTCACACCTCCTGCTTGCATCCCCATTGATTTCTGGGAAGTTGCCAGAGAACATTCTATACATGTAGTCCTCAACTTAGAAAAGTTCACGTAGTGATCTTTCAAAGTTACAATGCACTGAAAAAAGTGACTTATGACCGTTTTTCACACTTGTGGCTGTTATAGCATTCTGTGATCACATGATCAAAATTCAGATGTTTGGCAATTGACTGATTTATGACAGTTGCAGTGTCCTGGGGTCATGTGATCATCTTTTGCAACTTTCTGACAAGCAAAACTCAATAAATCTTGCTTAGCAACAGAAATTTTGGGCTCAATTGTCTAACTTGAAGACTACCTGTTTAATATAAGCTGTTTTCCCTCTCCTCATGACCCTCAGCAAAACCATTATGAAGCCTCCTCTAGTGCAGTGGTTCTTAACCTTTTTGAACGAATTGCCCCCTTGAGCCAATGAGGAAGTTGTCATCTCCCCCCTCCCCCAACATAACCTCTCAATTACAACATAGGAAACAATTCTTCAATTTATGCAAACACTTCCTTTGTTTTCTTTAAAATTGTCATCAGGACATATTGATGCAAATAATTTATTTCCAGTCTTTTCCCCATATCTCCCATATTCTGGCCAATGGCGTGCCACTGTATGGGTAGAGAGGCTGCTGCGCAATGCGCATGAAGATAAGCAATGCGTCTTCACATATGTATGGCATTCTGTACTGATGCTAGCGGAGGAACATTTGAAAACACAACTCAATCCACTAATAGCGAGCGATCTGATGTTTTTGTACGACATACAGCGATTCACTGTACGAAAAAGTCTCAAAAGTGTCCCCAACACTTCTCGCTCCATTGCCCCCTTTTTGTTCCTTTGCCCCGTTGCTCCTTTTTGTTCTATTGCCCCCCTGAAAAATGAAATTGCCCCGTGGGGGGCAATATCTCCCAGGTTAAGAACCACTGCTCTAATGCATGGAATTTCCTGCCACTTTGCTGGAGGGGGGGGGGGGAACCAAGGAAACTTCAGACCAGGGAGGAAAGTGCACCACTGCTCTACACTGCAGTCTATCCCCAAGGGCATCTTCCTCCAGGGAGGAAGGTGGCTCATCCAGTGTCAGCCAGTGTTCTTTGGCAAGCCCTACATCTCCAGTAGGCATCTGAGTAGCTCCCCTGACCTTCGTTACTCACCATTAAGGGATTTCAGATTTTGGGTTGTTTCAGATTAGCCAATTGCCACTCACCCATCAGACCTTGCCACCAGCCAGTTTGGGTCTGTCAGTTAAAGAGTGACAAGAATGATGTCAGGGATTATCAGTTCTTGTCCTACTCTTGGGCATATGGAAAACAAATCTACACTTTTCCGTGTGACAACACTCAAAATATTGGAAGATGGTTATGATGTCTCACCTTGGTCTATTCTTTAAGCTAAATATATTCAGTTCTTTTAATTGCTCTTCATAGGATTTAGCCTTCAAGTCATCTTTGTTGCTGTTATCTGCACTCTTTCCAATTCCTTAGTATCCTTTTTATACTGTAGCAACCAAACATGCTTTGTCAATGACTGCAAACCTGGTACTTGTTAAGAAGTTACCTGGGTTGCTAAGCAGATGGGGTGAAAAATCTGCTTATTGAAGGATTTCAGCTCCATTCCTGCAGGCTTCTGAAGGGATTCCCCTCCCTTCCATGCATGAAGGGAAAATCCTTCAGGGGACTGTTTGGCTGTTCCTGCAGCTGAAGGGTATATCCTTTGTGGGGCTGGAGGGGAAATCCTTTGTGAGGCTGTGGGCAATTGGCCATAAATGTTTGCCAAACACCCAAAATGTGGTCATATGACTGAGGACTCCCTATGATGTGATGTTTTATAAAGGCCAGAAGCGTTTTATTGACCGTACAGCACTTTTCTGATGCTGCTGTTAACTCTGGTTATTAAATAACAAGTTCTAGATTGAGGACTAACTGTATTACTTCCTTGTTACATCTATAAGCCACTTCACAATCTAGCAGGTTTATGGATGCAAACTACTTCCTACATTTAAGCAATATAAACCTTATTACAAAATTATTATAATTTTATTGAGAAAAATACAAAGTGTTATCCATGCAATTCTTTATTTTACATATAAAAAAATCCAAACTGCTGTGTGCCAATGCCAATGTAATATTCAAATATTTCCACATAATGGAGGTTGAATCCAAATGTTCTTTATTTCATGGAGGTCAAGAATCTGTGATTGAAATCTTATATTCATTTGTATTATTAATTTTATTTATATTACTTAGAACAATGCAATTAAAATTGAATTTCATATCCAAGAGGATCAAGACCTTGATCCAGAAGCATGAGGGAAGATTCTCTCAACTTCTGTAAGAGTTTCTGGAGTTCCTCCTTGGAAAATACCTGTAGGATAGGAAATAAAAATGTTAAGTTTAACTACAATTTGAGATAAAATATCCAATCTTCTTTGCCTGGAAATCTGATGATCAAAGAGAAAACTATTTTAATGAAGTATTCATTCCGCTTCTTAATTCTCTGAATTCTGTAACAACCAGCATGGTAATTCAATTCATTTTTGTGGTTAGCCTACCAATATCCTATTTTATTCAAATGCTTAATTATATTTCATATTTTATTAAAAATTGGAAAAGCTAGCTTATTTGTACTTTTTAATAGTTTGTCTCTCATCTTTGGAATTTTCTACACAATACCATGGACAGTGCAATTAAAGAGAGAAGCAGAGCATTAAAAAGCAGCCCAAATATATTACCATATAGACCCAAAGGTGCTTTTTTCATGAGGCAGTGAGCCATTTGCAGATCTGTATATTGGGGAACAAAACAACCACTTCATAAATGCATACCACAACATAAGAGAACAAACCCATCAGAAGAAGATTCAGCAGTCCATCTGCATTTAAAAGACAAAGGCCACTCTTTTGAAGACAGCAAAGACCACATTCCGGACAGAGAGGATCGCTGGTTTGAAACAGGGGTCAAAGAGGCCATCTATGTCAAAACTGAACAGCCCTCTCTCAACAGAGGGGGAGGGATATGACCTCCAAGGTCCCTTCCAACATCATCATCATCATCATTATCATCATCTCCAGTCTACAACACAATCCTTTCAACAGTTCCAAGAAGGCTCCACACCCATTTGCTCCACTCAGGTGACCCTGAGGACACAGATAAGTCTCCAGGGGTTTGAACGACTCACTACAAGAATGCAAATGGCCAGCTGTCTACAAGGAGTTTAAATCCTGCCATTTCCCACCATCCAGTCAGAATTGAAGAAACTTCTGGGATAAGAAGTGAAACATCTTCAAGAAAAAAAAAGTTTTAGTTGCCTCGTGAAAAAAGGACCTTTGGGACAACCATGACCTGAATGACTGACAATGTCCATAGACATTACCATATAGAGTTTGTGCCTATCTGAGGCAATCAAGTCGGCAAGTCTTAAATCTTCCTGATACTGGCCAGTGCTGTACAAGACTGTATGAAGGAGGAAGCACATCATTGGCAAGCAGAGTTTTCGCAGCATGATCATTTGATGAGAACGTTCAGGGTCATCTTCAGTATCCTTGATGAAAAGGTATAGACATGTATTAAGCCAAAGTCCTATACATAATCTTAACTACCCCAACCTTTGAAAACTCACCCACTTTTAATTAGAGAAAAAGTGAGTAAATGTTAAGTTGTGCAATTTTTCCAATTCTAACCCACAAAAACTAACCTGATTACAGGACTATTAAATTTGCCTCTTCACTTTAGTGTAAGATAGAAGTTAATTTTAAATCAGAGCATATGTGATCTTGCAATTCCATTTCTGTTTAAATGCAGGCACTATTTACACGGTTAGTTTCCAGTTTCTCATGTAATTATGTAATTATGATTACTTAGAACAGTGGTTCTTAACCTTTTTGAAGGAATCGCCCCCTTGAGCCAATGAGGAAGTTGTCATCGCCCCCCTCCGCCAACATAACCTCTCAATCACAACATAGGAAATAATTCTTCAATTTATGCAGTTTTTTTGTTTTCTTTAAAATTGTCATCAGGACATATGATACAAATAATTTATTTCCAGTCTTTTTCCCATATCTCAACTCTGTGAAAAATTTTGGTGCCACCTGTCACTTTATTCCCAAACTTCGTGATACATGTATTTCATTATTATCTTATTTATTCAAGACACTTAAATGTAATGACCACTGAAAACAAAATTCAACTGCAAGAAAGTGAAATGCCCGAAAAGAAAAACAGTAACATTTAATGATTGAATTACAAGTGAAATTTAAGATGCAAAAAGAAATATAAAAAGGGCATAAGAACAAACCGCAATGCAGGAACTAAGAATTTCAAGACGAAAACTCTGAAACTAAATTAAAATTCGAGGAAAGTATATATAGTCACGCACACTGTAAAAAGGATTAAAAAGTCACAAAGAAAATATAATATCAAACTGGAATGCATGCTAAAAAAGTACAATACAAAGAGACACACAAAACAGCATGCGATGTTTCGAAAGAAGCACTCCCTCCTCCATCACTGCCCATTCTGGCCAATGGTGAGCCACTGTATGGGTAGAGCAGGGGTAAGCAACCCAAAACACTCAAAGAGCCACTTGGACCCGTTTCCCACCGAAAACAAAACACTGGGAGACGCAAAACCCTTTTGACATCTAAAATGA